ATGTGAAACGCTGATATGTATACACAAATACATGTAACATGAATTGATTTTCTGCCCAAAGGCGATTGAAACTGCGAGTGTTGATACCATTTTTATACACATTAATCGGCCAAGTAAACAGAAGCAAAACAAAAAAGAAATAAATCACCATTCCCGGTATTTTCAACTGTTTAATTTTAAAATTAATGTACTCTTTTAATAACTTGTTTATAAATTAAAAACTATAAATAATTTCCCCAGTGATTATCCACATTGTTTATGTTACAGAAGAATGGTAGCATTAATTTATTAATTTTATTTTATGGTCATTTAATAAAGTGTGAGGTTTTCTATTTGAGGGTTAAAAACATGTTCCTTTTTCAATTAAAAATCTTATATTTAAGTGTAATAATTATTTTTAAATAGTACCAATGCAAATTTTTAGTATTTAATTCTACATTAAATACCCCCCCCCCCCTAATAAAAAGGCCTACATGTTGGTATTTTTTTCTCCTAAACCTTATCTTATATCTTATATTTAGGGGAAAAACTTAATCTTCTCCTAACTTCCTTATTTTACAACTTTATTTTTAAAAAAAATTATTCTGAACTGCATTTGTGTAAATATACAGTCTAGATAAATATTAATTAACTATTATAATCTCTGCTTATTAAAAGAATGTAAGAAATCCTTGCTTATTAAACAGTTTAAACTCATCTCTGCTGCAAGTAAACAAAACAACAGGGGGCCTGCTAATTCAGAATACACAAGGGGGCGGAGCTATCATGTCACTCAGAACCTTTTTTCACACATGAGTGAACAAAGCAGTCCCAGAAAGCAGTCCCAGGGACAGCTGGGTCTGCTTTTTAGAGCAGTCCCAGAGCAGTCCCAAAGCAGTCCCGGGGACTGCTTTCTGGGACTGCTTGGGTGTCAGGTTGGGTCTGGTCGGTACTGTATTTTATTAGTCAAAGTACCCCCCTTGTACCCCTGACCCAGCAGCCCTGAAATTATCTATTTTGAAACAGGCCCCTTCCTTCATTATAAGGCCAGCATTTTTTTTTATGTTTAGGTTTAGTTATGAACATGAGAATAAAAAAGTCCCGAAGGAGAAGGAAATAAATTTTTTTTTTGATAAATCAATTATTAACATTTGTACATTCTTTTTTTATGCTATCCTAATAGGCTCCTTACCACTGAACACATAATGCTTACAAATAGGAAAGTAGAACATTTAATTGCTTATTTCATCATCTGTCAGTTTGGGCCAGTTATATAAATTTTGTGATGTTGATCAAAATATATTTTAAAAAATCAATTCTTTGAAAGTCTTTCAATATATCTTCATTTTTTTAATATGTGTTAGGTGAATGTGAAGACATTGTTCTAAAATTATAATTCCTATCATAAAACAGACAGGGAGTATTGGGGAGTAGGTTTTTTTCAATTAAGTGTAAAATAATTTTTCTGGCTGATACAAATGATACTACATGCCTGTATATATTTGTATATTCTTGCCTTTTAATAGTTGAATCTTTTTTAATTTCTTCAGGTTATTGTTTATTTCTTCCTCAAATGGACTTCACTTCTCCAATAGTTTTATTCATTACATCTGATGCATAAGCAACCCTTTTCTGAAGAATGGTGCTTAGACTGTAAGCTATAACAGAGACCTAAACAATGTCCCTGGCAATATGCAATAGCTACCACGGGCAGTTTAAAACCTGGGGGAGGAAAATAATTTACAGTTACTTTTGAAACGAATACATAATTATCTCACCAGCATGTCAATGTGCAACAAAGTCGTCAGCATTTTATTTGTCCTTTGAACGGGTGAAACGTTTTGAATGGCACTCGTATCAATGAATTTTACACTAAACCAAGCTATCTTCTCAGATCTAGCTTTATTTACCCGCCGTTTCATCGTAAAACCGGAAGTGCGAGTTCGTAAATTTGAAATCTCGATCCCGACTCAAATTTGACATTGGAAAGAAAAAAGATGTTTTATTTTTTTCTGAAAATTCAAAACCTTGAGCGAAAGGTTTGTAAAACTGAAAATAAAATAAATCCTGGCCTTAAATATGTAATTAGATCATTCAATTTAGCATATTAACCACGAGCAAAGGATAAGATGTTCAAAGAAATCATCCATTTCACTATATAATCATTAGAGCCCCGCCCTAACACCAGAACCCCTGACTCTGGGGCCATAAAATTCACAATTTTGGTAGAGGCACTCTTGCTCATCATAACTATGTACTTAGTTGGTTAATTTAATACCCAGGAGCAGAGAAGAAGATTTTCAAAGAATTCAAATTTTCACTATATAATCAATAGAGCCCCGCCCTAACACCAGAACCCCTGACCCTGGGGCCATAAAATTCACAATTTTGGTAGAGGCACTCTTGCTCATCATAACTATGTACTTAGTTGGTTAATTTAATACCCAGGAGCAGAGAAGAAGACTTTCAAAGAATTCATGTATTTTCACTATATAATCAATAGAGCCCCGCCGTAACACCAGAACCCCTGACCCTGGGGCCATAAAATTCACAATTTTGGTAGAGGCACTCCTGCTCATCATAACTATGTACTTAGTTAGTTTATTTAATACCCAGGAGCAGAGAAGAAGATTTTTAAAGAAATAATGCATTTTCACTAACTTCTTATTTAGCTCCGCCCTAGCACTAGAACCCCTGACCCCAGGGCCATGAATTTCACAATTTTGGTAGAAGGCTCATTGCTGATTACAATCATGCAAACAGTTTGACTGCTTGATGTCCAGTAGTAAAGAAAAAGATTTTTAAAGATTGCATTAATTTTAGTGGTTTTGGCCCCACCCCTCAGGCCCCAGGGGGGCAGGGATCATGAAATTCACAATTTTTGTTCCCATTCACCCATAGATGCTCTGTGCCAAATTTGGTTGAAATTGGTTCAGTGGTTGCAGAGAAGAAGCTGAAAATGTTCAAATGTTAACGCACGACGAACGACGCACGACGACGGACGAAAACAGATGGCAATAGGTCACCTGAGTTTACTCAGGTGACCTAATAACAAAAGAAAACTCAATAAGGAATTTGACCCCAATGACTTACCAATAAAAACTCTCCATAACATGAATAGCCAATCGACTATGCTTGACCTAAATTGGTTCTCCTGATAACTACCTGAATGAATTAAAGAGTTCTAGCTAGGAAAAGATAACTCTAAATCTAAAATAAATACTACCAAGCAGTATGTGAAGTAAGTTTAGTAAATGTAATTTATCAAATGGAGTTTAAGTTTAAATTCATATTTATTAATTTATGGCTGTAAGATTGCTTATTAAATTATTTTATATTAAATTTATTTACAGTTTAAAATATAACAAATAACCCATTTTTACATATATCACTTATTGGGAAACATAGGTGTTCCAACATAAATACATAATCTTTCTACTTTGTGGAACATTATCAGCATTACACCAAGTTGTCGCATATCTGCGGTGATTTTCTTTGATCTTTCTGTGGTGATATATCCCATATCACATATGCGATACTACTTTCCATGCCCCTTTATATATCACTGAAGGAGGCAGAAATCAGGTCATGAGAAAAAAAATGATTTTATTTCACAAGTTCATAACCACAGAAAAATGAACATGTTTAGCTATTTCTTAGCCTTTAACTAAATTGAAATACCTGTATTTAACTCAGTTAAAAGTTCCCAGTCGTTCAAAAGATTAATCCATTTTGAAAATTTGAAAGTTACGGTAAAATCTCCAACCTTTTTATCGTTAAACTCCTTGCTATTTGTTTCTGTGATTTCATATATGTCGAGTGCCTGGCTCAAAAATAAATTGTCAAAATCTTTAAACTCAGTAAAAACTCAAAGTGAAATTCACTAAGAACGTCCGACATGTTGGAGATTTAGCTTGAAATGAATCTTTTTTTATTATTGCATTTTGACACTCCAATGAAATTTACGTCATCAGACATGCGACAGGTTGCTTACATCATAGATGCCTCGTACTATTGGTTATATCGTTTTCATGGGGCGTGGAAATCTCGGGCCCTCGATTTCCACGCCCAATGAAAACGATATAATCAATACTACTCGGTTTCTATGATGTAACCTATACAAGTTGACAGTTAAAGTCACCACAAAATATATTATCTAAATTCATAGCGTTTTGATTAGTCCATGCATTTACTCTTGAAAAAATCAACCCTTTCTTTCTCCTTGTTAGGAGCATAGACATTCACTAGTGTTAGAATTTGCTCGTTATATTTAATATTAATAAATAGTCTTCGATCATCTAAAGATTTAAATTGATTTAGATCTCTATTTTACAATTTTTTTTATCAACAAAATTGATACACCCCTACTGTATACTTATTCAGAAAAACAATGCATAATTTGTCCAAACCAACGAGAGTTATAATATGATTCTTGTTCTTTTATAAAATAAGTTTCTTGTAAGAAAATTGTCATATTTTGCATCTCTTAACTAATCAAGCAGCAATGTTCTCTTTTTGTATGTATTTAAACCTTGAACATTTAGGGCGTAAACAGGGATTTTCCACTACCCCGTGTAGGGCCGAATATGGGCCCCATTCCCAATTGCAAAACCCCTCCCTTTTTCCCAAAAATGAACTGCCTATGTTCAATTTTTCAAAGAAGAAGAACTCAAGTAGGTAACTTGGACATAATTCACAAAATACAAACATGTTTAGGTTTGGAAATTTGAATGAAATGAACAAAATTTTGAAGAATCTTGGGTAAAACTTTATTATAATGATCAATTCTCTGATTCATAGTTCTGAATAACTAAGTAAAAGATCAATTTTTATGTATCTTAAGTATTTATTTCTTGAAAAACATCATACAATAAAATTTCCCGATAAGTGATAAAATCTCATAAAATTCCCAATTCCAAGGGCCTGGGCCCCATTCCCAAAAGTGAGTGGAAAATCCCTGCGTAAAGTTTTAAAGTAGGATTGTCCATGAAAGGATGTTGTAGTGTGGTAACTTACTGTTCTCATCCGGCATCACTCTTGCTATTAACACTTGTATTCTTTGTGCGACCTTTCTTGACATCTTTAAGGAAGTCCTCAATATTGGACTGATTTTCACTTGTCCCTTTGCGTGGAAGGGAAGAACTTCGGAGTTTTCTTGCGTGTTTTGAGGCAAGCTTTTGGTATATTTTTCCGAGTTTGTTCTGCCCGGGCCATTTCTTGTGATCGGTATGTAATATTGCCTCACTATCAAATCCTGTGCCCGACTATATGTCGTAAGTACCCTCTGCAACAAGCATTCTGAGAGTATTGCATAAGCAATACATGTCCCCTACCGGGTTCCCATTTTTCTTCAGGCTGTCATTTTATAATGTGCAAAAGTCATGTCCAAGGTAAAACTGAAAGATTTTCAAGTTGTAAATGCCTTAAAACTAATAAAATAATCCACATTAAGACGAAAATTCAACTCATTTCTACATCGTCTTTTCCTCGCTTCATATTTTCGTCGACAATCGTAAGTTAGCGCAGTTCGAACCCGATCTTAATTAAGCGATTATGAAAAATATTCAAAATGCCATAATTCTGTCAAAAATCAATGAAGCGAAGCGAAATTCAAACTTGATCTGTAACTCATTAAGATACACACATACCAAAATTCAGCTCAATATCTGCAAGCGTTTAGAAAAAAAAGTGCAGAAAACCAAGTGGGACAGACAGACAGACTGGGACAGACAGGCGGACAGACAGACAGACAGACGGACGGACGCAGAGGAAACCTATAGTCCCCCCCCCCCGGTTTCACCGGTAGGGGACTAAAAATGGTGTTACTTGTTGAGTTTTCAAGCTTGGCTTTTACCTATGGTATCTGGTCAACTTTTGAACAAACGATTTCCTCCATCAACGTCTCCTTGTCGTTGTTCCATCCTAGTGGATCTGATATCGTATGTCCTAGCCCTTTAGCTTCTAAAGCCGTATCTGCTTCTCTCACCTTCTTGGCCGCCTCTAGATCGCCTGCACGAATTGCTTTGGTCAGTTGGTCTGCGTGTTCCGCAGATTTATGCTTTTCACCGAACACACTTATCTCACACGGATATAAATTAGAGAGAGGATTATACTTTCCTTGAAATACCACCATTTCACTGACATCTGACGTATCCACATAGTGCCGACACTCCGTTGATCCTGGAGTATGAACAGGTTCTCTATAGACTCGATAGACTTTGCCCTTCTTACACTGCTGTTTCCTATGTCCAGTTGCCCAGCAGTTGAAACACTGCACTTTGGGATCCATAGACGTCTGGTTCTGATGGTATATTCGACATTTCAATTTAGCGCAGATGACATTTCGCGGAAGAGATTTTCCATCGGGAAGCGGGTCAATGTAAAAAAAACCTGTTTCCGTTCAAAACATTGGTCATACGGTGTGTTTCAGGGTGTCTAATGTTTTCATATTTTACTTCACTTCTGATATTTACATCAAATATTTTGAGCATATCAAAGACAGCGCTGTCATCAACGGACAGGGGTAGCCCACATATGGTAACCTTCAAAACCTTATCATCATGACCAGTAGCTCCGGTGAAGAGGGGTTCGAATCATACACCTGTACAGAGATGTTTCTAACCTCAAACCCTTCTATAGCTAGCAATGATCTACATTCTTTTGTTTTTAGGTATACTCTCCATAGATCCCGCTCTAGTTGTATCCAGTGAACTTCATTTCCAACCTTCTGATATAAACAGCATAACTTCATCATCTAGTGATAATTTATTTACAATTTTTTCAGACTCTCTCTCCTGTTTACAATCAATAAGCAGTATGAACATTGATCACCCGTATATTTTAGATATTTTAACCAAATACTTTAATATTACAAATCTAGGTAAAGTTGTTGAATTCCGTTGGATTCCAAGTTATATTGGTATTTCTGGTAACACCAAGGCTGACAGTGCTGCGAAAAAAGCACTTCAGTATGAAATTGTTCAGTTTAAAATTCCTTATACTGATTTGAAATATTTTATCAAAAATTATGTTAATTTTCTATGGCATATATATTGGAATTTTTGCGATAATAATAAACTTTATGCAATACAGAACAAAGTTAATCATTCATCTAATTTTGGTCTGAAACGTCAGGATGAAGTTATTATTTCAAGAATTCGTATTGGACATTCAAGGTTCACTCATTCATACCTACTCAACAAGGAACAACAACCCGAATGTATCTCTTGTGACTGTGTTATTACTGTACAACACATACTATTAGAATGTTCTGATTTTTCGCCCATACGTAGTAGACTCTTTAATAATATACATACAATGCATGACCTTTTTCAAAATATTAATCCGTTTACAATATTAAAATATTTGCAAGAAACTGATTTTTACTGTAAAATCTAAATTAATGTATTTCAATGAAAGACATTTTAATTGAACAGCTTTACATTTTCATTTTGAGGTCAGTCGGATGGGACGTTAAATGGTGCCCCGTGTCAAGGATTACAACCCCCTTGGCACGCAAAAGATCGTTTCCCTGATTTTCGAAAAAGGGTAGGCTCATAGAGAAACCCAAAACTTTAAAAACTGGTCACATGATTTACTTTTAACCGCCGATATATGGCTGAAATATTGCTGATTCGGCGTAAAACATTAATTAATCAATCAATCATCTAGAACTATGTCATCAAAATTTACTGTTCTACACATTTGTGCAGCCCACATGCTTAATTATAAGTTATTTCAAGAAGTAATTGCTCAATCCACAGAGATCAAGGATGTGAAGATATTTTGGCTGTATGTATTAGCACGATTACAATCATCAACATCACTGGAAAGGGCAAGAACTTTAGTTGAGGATATAACAACAATTTCAAGAAGTAAGCTGATCAACAAGACAGCAAAAAAAGCATTAGATCGACTTAACGCCGCTATAAAGTTGGAAGGCATCAATTTTGAAGAAGAAAATGCATTTAATCATACATACGATGCGCCTCGCGAAGTGCTAGATGGGGAAACTTTGAGATCCCAGTCCCCATTCTACGAATACTTCTAGAAAATTGTAGAAGAGGCATATGTTTCCAATACGTCAGTGTACAAAAACAAAGGCCTGTCGTCTATTTTATGTATCGGCAAAAGGCTTGGCAATATCTTCTCTTGCTTATATGAGAACACAGAGAGCCAAAAATAACACCCAGGAGGAGGAAAAATGGGAGAGATGAGGACAACGGAACGTTACCAAGGAAAAGAAGTCAAAATATTTTTCAAGCCCATCAAATTTAAAGTTTATGAAACTCAATACTGAAGAAGAAAATGGTAGTTTAGAGGAAGCTGCTATAAATTTTAAAAAACCAAAAACAACTCTAATAAAATCAAACACAGATCGGAAAGAGCGTGACAGAGAAAAGAAGAAATTATTTGAGTACGGAGGCGACATTTGAATTTACAGATGAGAATGCCATGAGATGGGGTGGTTTTGACAAGGTAAAGACAGGGATTTCACTGTCCAACATTAATATTAACATTAATATTATGGTTCATATAAGATTAGCAAGAACGTAAACAATGTCTACAGAAGTGTTGAAGGGGTGTATAAAGATGATTGAGGGTATTTTTGTGCAAGGATTGAGATTTATACAGTATAAAAACAAACGCGAGGTCGAATGCCAGTCATTTCAGATATATTTTAACTAGGATGTTATATTGATACTATACGTTTATGAAATTATGATTGCATTGGTACAACTCCAATATTTCTGATACCTATTTACAGAAAACGTAGCAAATTATTTGCTCTTATGTCATTAAATAATACTTTTCGTTCATTGTTTTTATTTGTGCACAATTGGTATGATAGGCAGATGGGATTTTCCTACTTTCGTTTAGACAGCAAATTTTCTACATACGATTAAAGGTACGCAGTTATAATAAAAAAATCATCACAGGTTACTGATGTTGTATCTGAAATATTAGACATAATTTTGCTTGCAAGACATTGTATAGCTTGCTTATAATATTTTGTAAGTAAAACTAGGCATCCAGGAAAGTGGTATCATTAGTAGTGGACATGCCACCCCCCCTGTATATAAAATATTCAAAATTAAATGTGAGAATAAAATTTATGAGTAGGAACGGGTGTACAAATTTTGATAAAATTGTTCTTAAAAAGAATATTTCACTTTTTAGCTGATTTATAAATATTTTTGTTGACATAAAAGGCTTGAGCTATTAATCTGCGATGGGGGTACCTGTATGTTTTACCCCATATCTCGGTGAAAAGACAGATGACCAATACATTTATCACGCCTAAAAGATACTTCAAGCATCGGTTGATATAAAGAAAGGCAAAAAAATTCAGGGTAAACAAATTAATTATTCTAATAGAGAGCTTTATTTGAGTTTTGAGCTTTGTTACTTTTTAGTAAAATGAGATTAATTCTTTAATATTTTCTTATTTTCAACCAGTAATGTGTACCGTAGCCTGAAATTATTCATTATTATCATTACCCTTGTGATTTATGTTCAAAAGAATTTATTTGCCATGTGCAATGACATAAAATGTAGACCGTCTTTATAACAGTCGTTATTTTGTTTTTGATACAAGAGGGTACATGAAAAATATAGTTTATCTATATACTTTTTGTGGTTTTGAAGTAGATAAAGTATCTCTTAATGTATATCAGGACAAAAATTGCACTGTTAACCAATTAATTCCACGAGTAGGGACCTACCTTAACTCATTAATTATCTATAATTCGCGATATTTTTCAACAATTTTCTCAAATGTATTTTTAAATTGTTCTATTATTATGTATTTAGATTTCTGACATGATTTTAGAAGTACTAACGGAAATAAAGTGAGTTTTCTCTAATTCTATTCCCGTGAAAACGACTGTGAAAATGACGTCTCCTGAATTAACGGCGCACTAAACTTTCGTTAAATTATGTGTAATGCTCGAGATATCGCCAAAATAGATCCAAAATATGAATAATAAAACATGTAGTAAACTAGGGTATTCGTGACATTCTTCAAGAAATAGCTTATTGAAATTTTATACCTCTGTAAAAAAGCTATACGGGAGGGCGGGAAGAAGAGAAAAAAAACTAGATCATGATATTAATGCTAAAAGCAAACGATTCACTCCTGGAAATTAGTTTTGGAGATATTATTCCCCTAGTGCAGGACAAAAACTTGGTTTAGGATGGACGGGACCTTATCTCATTTTGGAAAAAATTTCAGACATAACATACAAAATTCAAAAAATTAAACATTCCCATCATTGGTAGTTCATGTCGACCATCTCAAACTGTATAGAGCAAAAATTCCCCTGAAAATTGGTTACTATCAGATACAGAAATTAGCTTAGAATCAGAGACTAAATTGTCTTTAGATGATAGGGATAACTCGTGTATAAACCCAACATCTGAATTCTCTCACCGTAGAACTCGTTGTTTAAGACCCATTAAGCCTAGAGATGTATATCATAAAGCGTTGTACATATCAGTATTCTTAGAGAATTTTAGTTCAAGAGAACGTAAATTTTGAGTTATTGTTTGCATTTGTAGGAATATTTTATGATTACTTTAACTGTTACTTAATGTAACAAAGATTTACATATTATTTTATTGATATTAAACAATACCCCTTTATAATTACATGTATTGATATATATTTCAGTATCATTGAAGTCGATGATTTACATGTCAAGGTGGACAAGTTGGTCCAGTTTCATCAAAATTATTGTAGAACACACTGGCCTTCCCAAGGCATAGCCTGTGAAGTACACGACTGCGACCAATATGTATATCCCACTCTTCGAAAATATATGCGCCATTGGCACAAAATTCATAAAGAATGTGATGAAATTTTGGAGTGTGAGTTGTGCCCTCGAAGATTCGAGAAATTATATTTTCTCACGCAGCATATACAAGGAGACCATCATCTACATCTGGCAGCAAGCAAAGAAATGGCAGCTAAGGCTCCTCGTGTTAATGTTAGAAATCCGATGTACCGAAGTTCTGGAGACATACTACCGCCAATATTCTGAAGGAATTTTGATAACAAAAGAGCACGACAATAAGATCAACAACCCAGCATTGCTGATAGGAAAATAGCCGAGAAAAGGAAGTGAGAGCAACAGGTAGCCGAAAACAAATTGATTGATTGATTGTATGTTGTTTAAAGTTATGAACTTTGTCCTTTGTAATACGTTTAATATTTGTAATAAATTTTCAAACGTTATCAAAAATACCTGTTAATATTTTTAATTTTCAAACATTATCGAAAAATTTTGA